TTAGGTCACAGACGTACGCGATCCGTTTATATTCATAGTCAGAACATAGTCAGTTTTATTTGTGTCTCAGCCTGGAGATAGGTGCCAACCCCAAGTTCTCCTGCCATAAAGTCAGCTTATGTTATGGCCTGCTTGCCAGGTGTACGTTTACGTTGTCTTCTCTCGACGTCTTTGGATCAACAAAGCTGAAATTTCAGCTTCTTCTTACCATTTCCGTTGTTCGAAATCAAATTCCATAATGGCCACCACAACAGTTATAGCCTTTCATGGGCATTCTTTAGTCAAAATATAGTCTAATATAATTCGGGTGTATATATATAATTTGATATATATATACTCATAGAAACGAATAAGGGAACACATGAAAGTACAAGTGTTCCTTTATTCTTCACAAGGTATGTATTGTACTGGATGAACTTCTGGGAATGAATAAAGGAACACTTGTACTTTCATGTGTTCCCGTATGCGTTTCCATGAGTATATACATGTAGGGTCCCCGGCACACATCCCTGTCGCTATATTTTATTAGCTGTCCTTTGTTCGACCTGTGTTATGATAATTGTATATTAAACAATACTTAAAGATCCACAGCGTCTACCCGGAGAACGTGGAACGTCAGAAGTTCGATCCGCGAAATATAAGCCTTGGCTCCAATAAATAAAATCTTATCTAAGTAAAGCACTTTTGAAAGGATAACTGCATTGTGTACATCAACATGTATCATTGTGTGTACACATTACTCCGTCAAGATAGGAACGAATCCAATTTGACATCACCTTTGAAGTGTAATGTCAGAGCGAGTATATGATAACAGCACATAATATTCTGGCGTAGTCATGCATATTTAAAAAACACCCCGCGTTATAGGCTCACCCTTACCATAACCGAGCTGCACTAATACAAACCTGACGTCCCGTTACACACAACCCACCTACATTCTTGGTAAACGACACCACGTCATGTATAATTGATGTTGTAACTGTAGATGTGTAGACGGTTATTATTTTCGTGATAATATTGACCGAAAAGCTCCAGCGTTCAAGCCGCCACCTTGGTGTACTGCATATAGATCGAGCGTCTGATTTGAGAACAAAATGTCTGCGGTTCGAACCCATGGTCTCCTCATACCAAACAAGGTACGTGTTAGATGCTTGATTTGCATTTTAGAAGATGATATTTGATGAACATAGAGATTTTTTCTGGGTTACATCTTCTTTTATTCTCGAGTACAACGTTTCAGGGCTTGTTCTGGCCCTGTTGTTACCTTGCATGGCGCTCGGCATTGAGGAAGTAATGCATAGACAGGCTGGCTCAATAATCAGTGTCCAAGTGGGGTGTCAATTTTACAGTGGGCCAGTACTCGCAACAGGCAATACATTAAAGATGTGTTTTCGCATGGTACAGTAAGTTTTCGTTCTTTTAAACACACTTAAAACGTTGAAATGTTCTGATGATGGTACCATGCAGATTGTGCTTACAGGCACAATGTCACACATTTTCGACAATAGTTTGGCCTGTATTGTATGTATATATATATTGGGGCATATGCACTCAATTTAGCTTCCTATTGATGCAATACAAGACTGATTATCCCTTACGACATGCTTGAAATCGATGACTGAAACTTCGAGGCGAACTGTGTTCGAGAGAACACTTGCCATACATGGAATGTAAACAATTGCAAACAATTGCAAACTGTTTACATCGAAAACTGTCGCACGCGGTGTTGTCGGTGTTTGCCGAACTTGTTTCAATCAAGTTGTGCGTAAATTATTTGTAAATAGCGCTCCAAGGGACATGACTCTATGGGGTTCGCTTGAAATAATGCAACGTTGCATTAATTCATTCGAACCTTTTATTCAAAATACGTAATTATTTTTTAAACTAAATTATATGGTAGCTTCCCTGAGAGTTGATGGTTACTATCATTAAGAGAATGCATTATTTATTTTTTATTGAAGTGTGGTGTGATATAGTGCCTTTAAAATATATCCTGGAATAATTAGGCAGTCAAACGCGTGTAACTGGATACCCTATTGAACGTATCACATCTTGTGTCCCATTATTTTCATTTATTGAACTAAGATTTAACGGTAAGATGCGGAAAACGTAATTAGTGGAACTAAGAATTCATACCATCAAACGTTTGAGGTGTGAAATTTCTTATGATAGACTTATATTGAAGGTGAAATCACTTCAGAGTATCTGAGAACGATAAGCACAAGAAGTATGCCACCACACTGTTGTTTGACGTTTCGTTTGAACAAAATATTATTACATCGGCATTACAGTTCAGTGGTTTGCATTTATCATCTATGAAGATTAGATGGAGATGGAATTGTTACTATATGACTTCTAACGTCAAATCTTGGACAACTGCATAGAAACACAAAACTATCAATGAAACCTTTTGATTGTACGTATTAACCCGTATTGGGGATTTTCTTCCTTTGATGTTTACTGAACAGCAAAACGTCACCTTTCGGAACCAAATGCAAAATTTTGTTCTTACAAGGTGGTGTACAGTTTTGTTCACATGATTTTCAACCCAAATTGACAGTTATTACCAACAATGTGTTTTCTGGTGAAAAAGCATACCGTCCAAACGCATCTAAAAAGGCAGACGTGGTAAAAGGTTCCGTATGACATTCATGAAAATGAAAATGCACGTACATATCGTGACAACACTACCAGTGAAATCGAGTCCCTAACTCACCTGAAATCATTTTTGTTTTGACACAGACGTCATGCCACGACCTACGACAGATCAAAGGAACCAAGCCTTGGGACGAATGCAAGTTGGCCAGACTTCACGGAGGGTAGCCAATCATTTTACTGTTCATGTTCGGACAATCTACCGTCTGCAGGTGCGGTATCAGGCCACTAACAGCATCCAAGACCGTCCACGTAGTGGACCACCTGCAGTAACACCACAAGACCGACAGGTTGTGCGCAACCATCTGCAGGATCGATTCACCAGAACGACGGAAACAGCTCGCGAGACCCAATAGTGCCGATACAGTACGTCAACGTTTGCGCGGAAAAAAACCTCTGCTGTCACAGACCATATCGTATTCCTGTCCTCACCGCTCGTCACCGCCCAAGCCGACTGCAATGGGCAACTCAGCATCGAAATTGGCTTTATCGACAATGGAGAACTGTGCTTTTTTCTGATGACAGCCGATATTGTGTTTCGACAGCCGATGGCAGAGTGAGAGTATAGCGAAGGCGTGGGGAACGGTTTTCAATGAGTGTATTGTTGAAAGGGACTCGTGGGGTGGTCCAAGCAACATCGTGAAGGGTGCAATCGGTCTGAAACAGAGAGTTGGTCCCTTGGTGTTCCAGAATCTCGGTCCAGGACGAGGAAATGGCGTGACAGCTGCTGGCTGTATTGATCAAGTCATAAGACCCCACGTTGTACCACATTATGGACGTCACAGAAATCACATCTTCCTGCAAGACAAAGCTCGTGCCCACACTGCCAGAGCAACATTGGACTTCCTAAGACATCATGGCATCCAAACTCTACAATGACCTGCACCCAGTCCGGATTTAAGTGCAATGGAACACCTTTGGGACGAGATTCAAAGAAGAATGAATGACCCCCACCCAAGGCCGACAACTGTGGCTGGACTCGATCAGGCATTTCGCAGAGTATGGACCCAAATGCCTATGGCCTTTATCAACCGGCTAATTCATTCCATGTACAGACGATGCAATGCCGTCATCGATGCCATGGAGGCCACACACGATACTGACTTTCAGGTATCTTAATGGTGCTATTTATGGTGATTTTGTTCGTGTGAACTCTAAATATGATTCCCGAAAATGTGTTAACCTTAATGGTCAAATTTAAACTCAATCCTCCTTTTTAATTGTTAATTAAAGTGAATTTAAGTGTGTGCTATGAAAAACCCCTATCGGTGTGACGTTTCTTGTGCGGTTCAGTATATTTTCGGCCAGGAGATGTTCAATGAAATTTTAATTACTTTTATTGGTTGGCGTGTTGATTTCTGTGAAATTCCTGACTGGTAACTATACCATTAACGTCATGAATAATGCCAATATGCTTCATAGTCATAGTGATTGAGAATACATGAGCACGCTAAATCAATTCAACTAAACCCACGTAACAGATAAAACTCTCAATAGACTGATTAGACTAATATTTAACACCAATATATAAGGACTGATAAATGTTCTCATTGTCTTTGGTTTAAAGATATTTCATGACATTTATGTGCAATCAAAACTCAACTGTAAGACGTAGATATTGACGATGCGACGGTTAACTTACTCGCTCACTCGCTGTTTGCAGTGATTTGGTCTGTGCAGCGTTGCCTCGGTATGTCGGAGGCCCGAGTTTGACTCCCAAATAGGTACAATTAGACTAAAGCTTAGGGACCGTTCATAATTTATGGCTAGGGGAAAGGGGGTGGGTGGGTTATGATGATGATTTTTACGGATAACTTATTTGAGTTTAGTAGTTGGATAGAAATAAACAGACAAACTTTATGGATGAACAACTTCTTTATTCGGTAGATGCGACGTTTCGATACAGATTCTTGTATCGTTATCAAGCAAGTATGAGTAAGGTAGAAAACAGGTGACTATATATACAGTAAATAATTAACTAAAACAACAAGGACGTGAGTTTGGATGTACAGTAACAATGTGATGACAAGGGATTATATGTAGAAGCCAGTGACAAGGGATACATGTAGAAGCCAATGGGGTTTACGGGTGTTTGTACAAGTAATACAACCAGTTAAGGTTGGTTGAAGAGTTCATCGTACGCAGAGGGGATGAAGTAACCTTGGTCTCTGTTGATCAGGGGTCGGTGTCGTTTGATGTGGATGGCTTCGGTTAATTTTCGTTTGGTGAAGTCAGGTTGGTTGGCTGCCAGATTTTTATGGGGTAGCATGTACAATGTGACAGACCAAACAGTTTAAGTACAAAGCAAGTGACCCACCCCAACCCCCATGCATGTCATGTACAAATCAATGACCCCTCTCCATCTTCCCATATTTTTTTAGCATAATTTTTAAATATTTTTATGCACAAAATTGCTGACCCCCCCCTGTGCTTCTGCTCAAAATTGATGACCCCCAGAACAAAATGGGTGACCCCCCTTAAAATCATCATTCAAACCACATACCCCACACCCCTCACCCCGCCAAAAATTATGTACGGCCCCTTAGTCTCTGAATATATATACTTTTGGTGGTTACAAATAATCCCATTTAAATTAAAAAGGAACCCCAGTGAGATTGATGATTCAGAACCTGATGAAACCTAGACTTGCTCCATTTAGGGCTTTAGCATTGTAGGGAGAGTTAGGCAGTGGGCAAAATAATCTTTGAATAGACGGACTGAGTCTATAGGGTACAATGTGTTCGTCCTGTTTGCGATGGTCCACGTGTATAACGTGCTGGAGTATTGCTATCCTAGCGATGTAGGCACATTGTCATTATACAAATATCTAAATAGAATAAATGCAGATTTAATATACCTATTTTAGTCTTATATTTCATGGGACATTTCATCGTGGAAACGTCTAAGATCGTTCTCATTCCATATGAAACACTAATAGCTCTAATACAAATAATTTAACGAAGGCTGTATACTCAGTGGAGTATATATATATGCCACGCTGAATAAAAACGTACCTTTTACAATAGAAACTGGATGTCATAAATGTATGCAATGTAAATAAACTGGAGCAAGGTGTAAAATGTAAATAAACGGGAGCAATGTGTAAAATTGGGCCAATGTGTAAAATGTTAATAAAAGGGAGCAAGGTGTTAAATGTAAATAAACGGGAGCAATGTGTAAAATGTAAATAAACGGGAGCAAGGTGTAAAATGTAAATAAACGGGAGCAAGGTGTAAAATGTAAATAAACGGGAGCAAGGTGTAAAATGTAAATAAACGGGAGCAAGGTGTAAAATGTAAATAAACGGGAGCAAGGTGTAAAATGTAAATAAACGGGAGCAAGTTGTAAAATTTAATATCGAAATATGATCCGAAAGCGTCAAATATCAATACAGTACAATAAACAACTTTGATGATATAATTCAGTTAATTGGTGGACAGTGGAATAGCTTTTTTGAAAACCTGGGTCCCGATCCACAAAGCGTTCGTAACGTTACGACTAATCGTAACTCTATACTTTACCATAGGCTTACGAATGGCACAGTGCTACGAACGTTTTGTGGATAGGGTCCCTGACTTGTATTTATGTAACAAATCATTATCATGAAAATGGTTATAAAGATGCTTAAAACCTTTTTGTAATATGGGTGAGGTGAGGTGAAATTGGGTTTAACGTCGTGCTTGAGAATATTTCGCTCATATGACGACGTGCATGCGTGTGTATGTGCGGCTGCTTGTACTAGCCCAGACTGAAGCTGGTTTTATAGTGCTAGCCCACTGAGATACCATGCCGCAGTGAAGCATGAATACCCCACTCAGACACATTATACTGACTCCGAGGCGACCAGTCCTTTTTGTACCCATTAATGCCGAGCGCCAGACAGGGACCAACAAGTACCATATTTTAACGTCTTTTGGTATGACGCGGTCGGGGATCGAACCCACGACCTTCCGCTCTCCGGGCTTGTAATATGGGCCATGGCCTTGAATGCTCGAAATAAATTGTCTGTCTGTCTGTTAAATATATCTCGCTATAACAAGTTTACCTGTGCAACTAATGAGTGAACAAGACCTGTAATCTATTTTGGCAGCTTGACTTGTCTTGAACATGTAACTCAAGTTGTTGACCATACTGCGTTGTATTATGTATATGCTACAATATGTAACCACTTCTTGCCCTTTTTAGCCTATTACGTATCTTGCACTGCTTCTTTAAATGTCAGTGAGTTTTTAGTATTTTTTCAGTATTTGCCCCGACCTTGTCCAAGAAACTGACTCCGGGAAAACCATTTTTCACCTGAATAATTCAGTGTTTGCTCTCAATATATATACACTGCATCCTAATGGCGATACATTATGCAAATGAATTGATCATATAGACTGACATGAACATATCTTTATTCACATCAAGCACGTGAAGACGCGGGTTAGAATTGATCTTCGAATCGAACCCGGGTCTTCGGCGTGACGAGCGAACGTTGGTCACTGGATTGCCTGGTCCAGACTTAATTATTTACAGACCGCCGCAATATAGCTGTAATATTGCTGAGTGCGGCGTAAAACTAAACTCAATCAATCGATCAATCGTTCAATCAATATTTACATCAGTTCGCAAGCTGCACAGGAGGAGGAATCATTGATTATGGGGCGAGAGGTTCTGTATATCGTATATAGCTCGCTGTCGTAGTAAACAGGGTTCACATCTGTGGGGAAACAGTAATGAAAAACAAAACACCCGGGAAAATAGAAAAACGGAAACACAGTACAATATCTGAACAAATCTTTGAAGATTGACGTGTAGACAGTAAATGGCTTGAATTCGTCGTTTGTTGTCTTGGCTAACTGCCGATTTCAATCAATCATGTCATCCTGTTCAACCTGGGATACACTGTAAGACAACATTTCATGTAACAAATGAATACACTGGAACTGGATTCTGATAAATTATCAGTAGACCTTTGTACTCATTTGTAACAGCAACTTCAGTGTCAGTCTATGCACCATCTGTGCCCTGTCTGGTTTATAGTTTAGAACAATCAAGTTCTTTCAAATAAATGTGTTCAAAACATGAGAATACTTAAACGTTCTGTTGAGAGAGTCAGATGAATAGCTACAAGATAAACAATCCCCGGCAGTTGTGTCTGCATGTTTTTTTCAGCCTTCCCATTTTACCTACTTTTTGGGGAATAAATCAACTTGTTGTTTTGCACACAAATTCACGAGAAGGAGGCTGTTGGTTTAGAGCAGGATACAGGCAAACAGATGCCAAGTAGTTTCAGGCAAAGCAAAGTACAATTACTGCTCCTCAGTTTCACACGATTATCAAGAGGCACAAACTAATCACTAGTTTTCCTAATTCAGTGTTTGTAAGAGATCGTGTCAATGTTTGCCCTTAACTCTGAAAAGCTGCAGGCCCTAAGGACCCAGAACCATAACAAGTTGTGGGTCCTGATCAAATGTGTAGGCCCTATAGTTTAATATGGAAATAATACTCTTAGTTATTAGGGATGAAAAAGCTGTCGACCATAAGGACCTGCAGAAAGCAAAAGCTGTGGGTTCGAGTGGTTTTCAGTCGACTTCGGGCCTATAGTTTGGCATGAAATGCATGTGGACCTGGTTTTTTGTAAATATCTCTTCATCCAAAGACCCAATCGATCTCAAACTGTGCAAGTATGTGTTTTGTCAGACAACCTAATCACATTGTAAATCACCAATTTTATGCATTTGTATTAAAGAATCTGTCTATGTAACTGTCAACAAAATAAACAGCAGAACGCAGAATGCTTGCAGAGGGAGGGAGCCAATGTCCTGTAACAGCGGCAGTGTACGGTCATAAAGTTAAATGCACGTGCAGTTCATGATAGTTACCTGTGCACTGCACAGTGATAGACCGTTTGGATCATTCACATTGACTACTTCTAGCTGTCATCATGAAAGCTTATTCAGATGATGCTACACGTTTAATTAGAAATGTGTTGAATTTTTTTTAAAAAGAGAGCAAACGTAGCAAACCGATTTATAAGGTGTCGGATTACATGAAACGTACAACTTTTGCTCTTGGCATGAAAAAGAACATCGTGCTAAAAATTGTAAAAAAATAAACCAACAACCAATAAACAAAACCTTGTACAAAAAGGTAGGTATCCAAAGTTAGATTCTTTTGGAATCAGGGTCATCAGAGATGTCATTCGCCGGCTCTTTGCTAGAAATGAACACCTCTTCATACCTGTCACGTGCATTGACGAACGTTGACCTTTATGACCCAACACTGCCGCTGTTACAGGTCATTGGCTCCCTCCCTCTGCAAGCATTCTGCGTTCTGCTGTTTATTTTGTTGACAGTTACATAGACAGATTCTTTAATACAAATGCATAAAATTGGTGATTTACAATGTGATTAGGTTGTCTGACAAAACATCCACTTGCACAGTTTGAGATCGATTGGGTCATTGGATGAAGAGATATTTACAAAAAACCCAGGTCCACATGCATTTCATGCCAAACTATAAGGACCGGCGTTAATTTCGAACGCTGGATCGTGTTCATCTGCATCAACATCCTCTGGCAAATGGGGTGAGGAGGGAGCCAAATGAGCATACACACCCACTGACTGTGATCCCCAAAGTTTAGTTTCGTGGGTGCTGCTCCTGATGGTAAAGTGCATGATAAGGGTCATTCAGACATCACGTAGATTAGGAGTGACCATCCATGACAAAAAATTGCAGGTGGTAGATGATGAACTAAATTATGTTCTCTTTAAAAAAGTAGGGGGACCTGAACTTCCAGTTTGGACAGGAAGTATAAGCGTTAACCTTTCAAAGACAGACATCTTTGAACGCACCACCATTTCTCTTTATCACCAACCCCAAACACAATGCACGGGGTGCACGTGCACAACGCAGTAGCCCCATACACGTGTAGAGGGTGTCATTCTGGATTTTGACGGTTTTCAAGAAGGTCGATAAGTCATCATAGACTATTAATTTTGACGATCATCTTGCATCACACAGTTGTAAGTGTTTGCTTCTAGCCGGCTTTTTGTTTGAAAATGAAAATAGTAAAATGCAAAATTAACGTCATACACCAATCATCTTTCAAGAGCAATTACTGTACACAAACAATTGTGGCCATAAGGAAGTGCAAGTGGTGCTGCACTCTCGAAACATTCATTATTATCATATCAACAGTGGTTGACTCCGATATTTCTCAAACTGTTTTCAATCGTAAATTAAAAATGAAGTTCCCCTACTTATTTTTAAGTGTATACAAACATGTTCTGTTTGACAGAGGCACAAGATGGTATGTTGACAAATGACAAGGACTATGACTACTACATCCAGAATCTGAGTCAGCTTCTTTTTACAGGAGTATATGTCGTTCCCATAAGGAAAGATACATATTTGTGGAAAATATGCCATGACAAGGGCAAACGGGTTTGACTAATGAACACACATGCCATTGAACACACATGCATTTGAACACACATGCCATTTAGAAAGTGAGTGAGTGAGTTTGGTTTTACGCCGCTTTTAGCAATATTCCAGCAATATCACGGCGGGAGACACCAGAAATGGGCTTCACACATTGTACCCAGGTGGGGAATCGAACCCGGGTCTTCGGCGTGACGAGCTAACGCTTTAACCACTAGGCTACCCCACCGCCCGAGTCGACAGAGAGTAGTCAGGTGACTTAGGGTGTGCTTCGATGAGATGGGCACCGACTGTACCTGGTTGACAGCGACGTGACTGACAGTGTCATCTTCACTGATGACAGCCGCCATATAGCTGGAATATTGGAGTGCGGCGTAAAATTAAACTCACTCACTCACTGATGACAGCTGGTTTGGCCTGTTCTGAGCTCATGGAAGACAGCATTTTGACAACTCTGCGTTCCAGGCGAACATTCTTCGTCCAGCTGCCCTACCAGTTCTACCACAACAGCTCCTTGGTTACTATCATGACAACGCCAGACCCCAACCGGCCCAAACGGTACAGATATCCCTTGCTGCCAACAACGTCAATGTGTTGCCGTGACCTGCAAGGTTCCCCAAACGTGTCTCCTACAGAACGTGTCTCCTACAGAACGTGTCTCCTACAGAACACATCTGGGATGTCAAGGATTGTCCTACTGGACAGCGACCACATCCTCTAGCCGACCAGCAAGACTTGCAGCAGGGGGCACCCGTGAAGATCCTGGTTAGAATTGGTCTTCAGTAACCCATGCTTGTCGTAAGAGGCGACTAACGGGATCGGTTGACACATGTCATCGTATCTCAACTGCGTAGATCGATGCTCATGCTGTTGATCACTGGATTGTATGGTCCAGACTTAATTATTTACAGACCACCGCCATATAATAGCTTGTATAAGCGACGTAAACCTGAACTCACTCACTCACTGTAGTAGAGGTAGTCATGCACGCTGTTAACTGAAACTGATCGATTTTAGACGTGTGTGCCCATTGTCTATTTCGTTGAAAGCTTGCCTTTTCTACCCCACTTCAGTTTGGGCAACATCCATGCCAATACCGTTTGCTCTATGACTGTCATTTTAAAGTGATTTTTGAATTCGAGTGATTAAAAAATAGGTTTGGCTTCTTTTCACCACCAGTTTCCTTGAAGAAATGAAGTAAGAAAACCTTTTCTTTTTCCATTAGCATTAAAAATGAATAGAACCGGCAACACATGTAGCATGGTATTTCCGGCAATCGAATAAACAATAACACTGACAAATCTGTAATCAAATAATGTTCTTCTAATGATATGAAACTATTTGAATCATGGTCGGATGAAACTAACACAGAGATAGAATGACACAGAACAGCTTTTAGTTTTGCTGTGGCGTAAAGACATGTTACTTACATTGTTGACAATCGAATCAATCGATAGTAAAAAGGATATTGAGATTTAGCAGCATTTATACTTTTCCAAGCGAGAAATGGCTTTTCGTGATAATATGAAAGACGATTGCAAGATATCAATCATGTCTGAGGCACCTATTCTCCATGCGAAAATATAACGAGTGGCAAATTTCCGGATAATGTGTTTTCAAATGTATGGCAAATGATAAATATTTACAGAACATTACAATACCTTGGGCAACTGGTTGGGGGTGGTTTCCATGGTCCTTTCAGCTGCATCCTCATGGATTTGGAACAACTCACACTCAGACCTATCTATGTTATACTTATAGGAAGAACACTGTGGGTACGTCTGACACAGTACCCGACACTCCAGGAGACACGAGTCTGGAATCACTACAAACACCTCACCCTTATTGTCAACGGGTGGCTGAGATACTTCAAAACACTTCTCATCCACAACAGCAAGACAAGGAGCCAAAAGGACCAACAGCTGAAACAAGTGACTCCTCGGCATGACGATGTGAAGCTAATGCAGAGAGAGCATCTGTATCTGAAAGGGGAGTTTGTTCTATGAAATATTTAGTAGTTCTGACTGTGAACGTCTACGAGCCTGTGAGTATGGTGACGTATAAGTGCCATCGGTATTTTCTTGGAACCATTCCACCTTACATTTCTTGATCTTTTTTATTTGTGTATATATAGCTATCAATGACGTCGTGAATAGTCCTGAGTTTTTTTTCAATCCAACTTTTCTGTGCCACAATACAGGGAACGGTCGCACTTACCCATATTCCAATCAGCGAACGTTTTACAAAATCAACATCGACGTTCCGGCAACTGCTATGGCCACTGCCAACGCCTGTCCAATTTGCACTGAAGTTGATTCGAAAGATTATGCTACGACAAATATTTTCGAAGCTGTTCGATATGGTTTGATGTTTTCAGTCACCACAAATATCAAACATTTAAATAGTCGAGTTCAAACTTATTTAGTATTCTAACTCAACCTTGTGTGAAGCCTCTACCGCAGTGCTATTTTAGAGAAAACCACTCTATACGTTTCATGTCGAGGCGATGTTACTTGATACTGTGACTAGTTGATATGCCGTTGCTATTGTATAAACGTCGTCAGTAAGTATATGGACTGTGGTTTTCTGTCTGCGGTTTGTTTGTCTGTACTGAATGAGCGGCGGTGGTGTAGCCTAGTGGTTAAAGCGTTAGCTCGTCACGCCGAAGACGCGGGTTCGATTCCCCACCTGGGTACAATGTGTGAAGCCCATTTCTGGTGTCCTCCGACGTGATATTGCTGGAATATTGATAAAAGTGGCGTAAAACTAAACTCACTCACTCACTGTACTGAATGACTGAAACCTTTTCCTCATCTGGGATGGAAGTCATCTTGCAAATTGATTCGAGATAAGAACATTGATGTGAGTGCTTATCTCGCTTTCACTACACGGGACGCAACCCTTGTTCTCCATGTGGTCATTGATGTTACTGGCAAGGACCAAATTAAAACATTGGCTCGCCAGAGCCTAGATGGCGCTGTTGCCCCAGGAAGAAGAAGTACAGGCAGTGTCCTGTAGACTGCATGACCCAATATACGAAATAAACAAGACAAAGCCAAGACAGATCGCCTAAAAACGGGAACATATTGTAATGTACAAATAGGAAATTGCATCGGATATTATGTAGTCACTGAGGCGTCAATTTGGAAATGTCTTGATTGTTGTAACCTTGATCAGATAACGTCTTAGCAAGAGTCTTGAAATCTTAGAAATTGGAGAACGAGCATTCTCGATTGTACTTCAAACTTGGAAACATCATAGGCTGTTTAAGCATTGATCTAAATTCGAAACCCCCTGATCCAATTGATATAAGCCCTTGCATACATCTGATACATTAAAGGTCATCGTTGGGCTAGTATCGGCATGTGAATCGTGTGTCACACACGGACTTGGTTTGACACTTTACACCACCTCTCAGGTTCTTTGATGGAATTAAGGATTCTGAAAGCACGATAAAAGGAAACTGACACATTTTCACATCGAATAGCAGCGCTTCAGACCACTGAGTAACAGAGAGGACAACACGAATATGTCCATCAGTATAATGGTTTATGTTTACGGTGTGAGGGAGATGCAGTAATATATTGTTATCCAGATGTCTTCGCCTTTGGGATTGCCAGAATAAATCGTTTAGCTTTTTACCAGTGACGATCCGGGTTAGAATTGATCTTCAGTAACCTATGCTTGTCGTAAGAGGCAACCAACGGGATCGGGTGGTCAGGGTCGGTGACTTGGTTGACACATGTCATCGTATGATGTTCATAATGTTGATCACTGGATTGTCTGGTCAGACTCGATTATTTACAGACCGCCGCCATATACCTAGAATATTGCTGAGTGCGGCGTAAAAGTAAACTCACTCATTCACTGTATCCGTGATCGAACAACTTCTGAGCCAGAATGGTATGATGCTCTTTGAAACCTCGGTAAAAAGAACATACTCGATTGTGCCTCAATCTCAGGGGCGGTGGGGTAGCCTTATGGTTAAAGCGTCCGCTCGTCACGCTGAAGACCAGGGTTCGATTCCACACATGGGTACAATGTGTGAACCTATTTCTGGTGTCCCCCGCCGTGATATTGCTAAAAGCGGCGTAAAACCATACTCACTCAATCTCAATGGTAGGCCAAATGCCATTTCACTTTCACTGGTTATGAAAGTGGGAATTATCGGCTGGAACCAGCATTTTCTGACGGTTTCTGGGATGTTTGCGACACAGGCCGTGTAACTGAATATGCAGACTGCGACCCCAGCGTACTCGTCCTTCAACCATGTGAACTATATATGGCACCGAGTACTAGAGTCATGATGTATTTAACGTTCCACGGATACGAGAAACTGTATACTGGTTGTGCTGGCTGTATGACGGTTAAACTTTTCCTGTTGAATATTTGAAGCCTCTGTTTAACGTCTTATGAAACCAATTCATGAAAACGACATCGCTGATATTGTCTCTTATGGTGTAAATTAAGAAGGCCAGATACAGATTGATTTAGTACCAAGTCGTTTCATCACACGGCAATTAGTCCGTCCGTACTTGGAGTGAGTTACCAGGTAATTGGTAGTTAACGGAAGATTTAATGGTGTTCAGTAAGAAAATCAGTGATGTGGAAGGACAATCTGTAGTGGTTAGGAGGGAGTGATTGAGTTTAATGTTACGTTGCACTCAGCAATATTCCAGCTATATAGCGGCGGTTCTCTAAGTAACTGAGTGAGTGAGTTGGGTTTTACGAGGCTTTTAGCAATATTCCAGCAATATTACGGCGGGGGGACACCAGAAAATTCCGTACTAGGATGTTCGGCTCCTTTTATTAAACGGACATGGAGCTTAAGGTGCCTATCTATGACGTCATTATGTGAGTAAGTGAGTATGATTTTAAGCCGCTTCGAGGACTATTTCCGCAGTGTGATTGCGTGACACGCGGCGGTGTGGGAAATCGAATCCGACTAACGAACTCTTTATTCATCAGGCTACCCTCTGTCCTGACCGCCCCCATGGTGTAGTGGTTGAGCGTCCGCCCGGAGAGCTGAAGGTCGCGGGTTCGATCCCCGACCAAAAGACGTTAAAAATGGTACTTGTTGCTCCCTGCCTGGCGCTCGGCATTATTGAGTACAACAGGACTGGTCGGCTCGGAGTCAGTATAATGTGTCTGGGTATTCATGCTTAACTGCGGCATGGTATCTCAGTGAGGTGGCACTATAATACCAGCTTCAGTCTGAGCTAGTACAAGCAGTCACACATACATGCGCATGCACGTCGTCATACGAGCGAAATATTCTCAAGTACGACGTTAAACACAATTTCACCTCACCTCACCTTACCTCACCTCACCCTTCGGTCCTTCATTAAATGAAATATAATTCAAAACCAGTTCCTGGGCACTCTATAAGAAATATTCTAATTCAGTCTCTACAAACACGTACCAAGTGACCGATAACCAGAGTCTGATTTGGGGAATGTTGTTCAGGGTGCCGGTGTACAAAACAATCTTAGCGCTTCGACAGTCACAAGTCTATGCTAAGGTATGGGAGTTACGATCACCTTAGCCCGAAGATCGCTTTGTGCCACGGCACTTTGATCAAGTATCACCTATTGTATGACAATGTCCAGTAAATTCAAAACATCTACCACATTGTCATCTGAAACACTAGTAAAGTGTGATCTATATGGGCGGCCCATCACGCCTCAAGCAGTCTAACGCAATCCACTGCAAAAATAGTTGTAACATAAAAGTAACTAACTGATATTTATCATTAATTCAATGGATTACCGGGTTATTGGTATTTACGGAAGATTTACTGGTGATCAGTAGGAAAATCAGTGAAAACTAATTTGGACAGTTAATCATCGGGACTACAGACACGGGACGTTTTAGTTGCACTATTCACAAAGTGAATTAAACTGGTCGTGTTCATAAATTACCTAATCGGTATACAAACTTAATTTGAAGCATTTTCCAAACTGGATCCATTGTGCATAAATGGTAAAACATCATGAACACTATATGAATGGACAATTTTGAAATGTTCCGTTCTAACTGAATTCCAACTCTCATTACTTTTTATTAAAACAGAAGGTCCTGAGAGTGTTTTGCGTGAATCGATAGTAGCAGACAAATCCTCCTTATATTCACTCAACAACTTTGTTGTTTGCGAGGACGTTTAGAATTCCAATTCACGTCATTGCACAAAGAAATAAGCGTAATCAGAAATGTATATGTTATGCCCTGTCTTAACGCCCACATGCATGCTAGCACATACAATCATAAGTCAAGTTAATGACATTGAAAATTACCTGAAGAGCTATACATATATACATATAGTTTTGAGCAGGGACATTGGGCTCCAAGAGGATGGTTGTTCAGAAATAACAGCAAATGAATCCATGTTCTTTATCGTTTAGGTTTGCTTACATTGCTTTACGGTTCAAGCGTTTCTGGTAACTAGTTCATATGGTGCATGGACACAAAGTACAAAAAGTTCGGAAGCGTTTGAGAGGAGTATATTATGCCAGATATGTACTGAATATGGTAAAGGGCAGGCCATCTACTGTCAAATTGGATGCCATCAGACGGTTGGTATCTGAGTCCAGAACCTGGAGATTTATATTGCACTGTCTTCAGATTCTTGCTACTGATGCTGAATTTTAGTGCTTCGATACATTGGTTCTTGAGTTATCTTGTGTACAATGAATCATAATTAATGCTAAGACATTGCTTCAAAAATCAATAGCCAAACCCACACATTCTTGGAAATTGTGGATAAAAATTAAATTATAAAAAAAACTACACCAGCAGTATTCAGTTGAACTGATACTGGTAACCGAAGAGAGTAATTGTATAACTGATGGTAATATGTCATTGACAGGAGAGTAGTTCTTTTCAAAATAAACTAGTATAATGATTTAGTTCATCATGCTTCATTCACCTTCACCGGAGCAAAACATTCATCATGCTCCTCCATTTTCAGTGCAAAAATAGTCGATGTTATTTCATTCATATCACTGAGTATTTCAATTACTTTTTTTCTGTAGTCAACAGTTCAATTTTAATACCTATCATTTGCGGTAAAACCTGTAATAGAAAGCCTCAAGGTTTATATCGTTACTTGCAAACACATATATATCATTTTTGTGGTGGGTTGAAACTAACTGTATGCTAACTTCTTTCAATGTTTCAATACAATTGTGGCGAAATGCTAATTTCATTAGAAAGTTGAATATTTAGGTAAGGTATTCGAGTGAGTATTCGAGGAATCAAACTTTCGTGGGTTTTATTTCTTGTTTGTTTGCTGTTTCGGGTGGGGCCTGGTGGTGGCACAAACACAAGTTTTCATATATATTATTTTTGGAACTTCTTTGTCAGTGTTATACGTTAATTGGAATAGGAATAGTAAGTCGCGCAACGATGAAAGTTACTGATGAACCAGTTGTACCATGGTTAACATGTCGACACTAAAAACAGAAGTATTACTGTTCCAACTGTTTGGTTGTGTTTTTGTTAGACAGTCAACTAACAATAGAGACATAGGTATTACAAAACGTCGCATTTTGAACGTCCAACAGTGCAGTTCATTTCTATCTGGAATGAACAATGTTACAACCATTTTTCTTGCATTCTTTTAATATAATTGTGTATTTTTCAAGGTTGACAAAAGCATTAAATACATGCGACGTAGGTAAATTGATGTTCAAATGATCATCACATTGTCAACATCTTCATAGTTACGGACGTTACGTGGCACGGGGTGTTTTAACCCTACAGATACAGAGGGGACCCTCCAATAATGCCGCTGGGCACAGATTGTATTGAATAAATGGATAAGTAACTTCTAACTTACCGAGTAATTTGTAAATTTATCAATAAAACAGAGACAATGCATCAAATTGTACTGTGATATAGTGTATCAGGTCGACAGTGTCAGAGGTACACCGGTGTTTTTGTTCCTGTAGCTTTGTCGTCCACACAACTTGTCTACTCCTTCAAAGTCAATACGTCAAAATAGTCGAAGCTGTCCGGACTTTTTACCCAGTTTGCTTTTCCTTTGTCGAATAGGTAGGATGGCCTCTGTTCATAATCAAACAATATTAGATCCTTGAGGTATTTCAGTCGTAGTTCTTCCAGACCCACCAAAGGAATCTGACTGTAGGCTTGGAGCAGAGCTTCCTGCTTGTTCAATTTGGCTTCAGGCGTTGATCGCTCGTACGCACGCAACACCAAGTTCATTATCATCGTCTCATTTGCTTGACGGCTCTCGTCGGGACTTAATGGATAGTCGTCATACTTATTGATCAGTCCTGATATCTGAAGGACTCGCCATAGACGCCGATGAACCATGTGGTCACTTATACACTCTAAACTTCTGTTTTTGCAACTGAAAGCTCTGTGCACCTTGAAAATGATGTTATGGATATTACTTTCTTCTTTAAAATTCTTGACTATCATGCCTCTCTCTGATGCTTGGGTCTGGTTGAAAATATACATGGCGTCGTGCTCAAATGTTTCCACTTTTCCAATAACGTCATATTGTATGTGGCATACGTCACACTGTGACGAGACGGGGCGGAAATGACGATTATACGACTCTGAATCTACCCTTGTCAAGTATCTTATCACTTCTCTGAATGTCACATCTTCACCACAACCTGGTCGGGGTTTTCCCCTTTTTCGTATGATACGTTTTCCATATGACCAGAAATAAGGATTTGGACTGAGGAACTTATCAACATATGCTGAAAAGATTCTCTGATACGGGTCACGTGTAAATACGATTTTATAAGCTGATTGTATTATAGCTCTTATCTCTTCATCCGTTCCAGAACCCTGATGTGACATTGGTTTCTTTGGTCCGTATTTGATCTCAAATGGAGATTTCTTTTCACCAGTCTCCAGTATGTGCAGGGCTCTGAACCAAAACTTTGTGGCAACTTTTGGCACAGAACAGTATAGTAGGTTCAGATGTTTGTAATAAGACACATTATCCAGTGATATATTTGGAGTGTTCAGCGTGGAACAAACGTCTCTTGCGTGTTTCGCCCTCGACTTTAGTTCTCCATCATAAAACTCCTGTAAAGAGGTACTGGCATTGATATTACTGCATAAACATGAAACACTATAATGTGTGGACAATGTGAAGGGGTGTGAGACATCCCAGTAGTCTCAGAGATTGCTCTCTCTGTATAGTGTACCATCTGTATTCCATATTGTTCCAATTCCAGATCTCTCTCAACACAGGCAAACTGTAGCGCAAATAGGGTTGCGCAGCGGAGAGAAAAATGACCAGTCTCCCTATATGCGAGCGAAGCGAGCAAAGGTTGGCAACGTACTTTCCTCGCTTCGGTTCGGAAAATATTTTTGATGTCAAAATAAAATATCGCCACCATCAAAGGAAGACACCCATTTCCTCACAGGGTTGTGCTCTCAGATGTCCAACCTCATATTTAATAACTACTCACGTAAAATATATTTCATTCAAGATTTTAAGTGCCACTAATGGCATATCAAATCGTTCTTCGCCTCCATTACCCCTGCCAACTTCCGGTTCAACCGTGTGAACCTGTATTGTAACCTCTGCCTTATTGTCAAATGCGTATGTCATTATAAACACTACAATGAATTATTATATACACTACAATGACCTGGCCACAGATACACGCACGCACGCGCGCATGCACGCACACACTGACGGGCACCTGAGACGTCTG